GGTGAGGGCTAGGGCTAGACTTAGGGCTAGGTGAGGGTTACATTAGGGTTAGGGTGAGGGTTAGGTCAGGTTAGAGTGAGGGTGAGGGTTATCGGTTGTGTGTGGACTTCAGGGCCCAGAATTCTTGGCTTTGCTAGCTGGGGAATCCCGGGGCTCGAAGCCCCCCGCTAAGCTGCCCCAGTTTTGAGAAACTGGGGTTCAGCCCCTCCGAAACCCTCCCTGCCAGGCAACTAGTGGCCTCCCACCTGGCTTGCAGGACAACCTGGCGGACCAAAATGGCTGCCCTCCCCAACGTCACCTAGCCCCTGGCTCTCACCTGGGCACTGGCGCCTCTGCCCAGGAAGGGCCTGGCGTAGGGCTCTGGCGTCCGGGCGGGGCTCAAAAGACACGCGGCCGTCCCGTTTCCTGGGGGGGGGAGCCACCTCTCCTGGGTCGCCTTCTCCCTTCGAAACAAAGGAGGGGAGGGCCAGATCGGGAGGCGCTGGCACTTGCTCGGGTCTCTCGCCTCCGACGGAGAGAGACCTGCAAAGCAAGGCCGCGGCCGGTGGGGGCACCCCGAGAGCAGCCGGATGGGGGAAAGGGCGTCCATTTGCAAGGAGGGGAAGCGGCCTCTGGCTCTTTGGGGTCAAGGTTGCCCCTCGCCATCCCACGCTGGGGTGGGGGGTTCCTGGTGCCACCTCCCTGGCGGGAATCACGCCCTCCTGTAAGCTTCGGGGTGGTTGGCTCTTTTGGGGGGCCGGGCCAAGCTACCCTTTGGGGTCTGGGTTTTACGGCCTCTCGCAATTGCCCCCGTTTGGGCCGGAACCGATGATTTCTCCCAGGGTTGGGCAAACAAGGGGTTCACTTAACGACCGTAGCCAACAAAGGGTTGTCAAAAATCAGATTCGGTCACATGGTGACGGTGCTTTTCCCTCCGGCCTTCCCTAACTTGCTACAGCTAGTTTCTCCACTTACGACCGTTCGTTTAATGGCCGTTGCAAGATACAAGGCGCTGGGGGGAAAAAACAACGACGACTTCGGACCATTTTTTCACCGTTGGGCACCGTCGCATCCCCACGGCCACGGGATCAAAATTCATGGCAACTGGCTCGTAGTTTAGGACGCTTGCCCTATCCTGCCCTCCCAACCCCCCCTTTGCAACTTCTTGACCAGCAAGAAGGGGGGGGGGAGCTGAATTCACTTAACAACCGGGCTGCCTGTTGGGCACTTGCAGTGCTTCGCTTCATGACGGTGCCAAGAAAACTCCTCCAATGGGGCAAAACGCCCTTAACAAGAACGTTGGGCTCAATTGTGAGTGGACGGTGAGGACTCCCCGTTTCATGTGAAAAATGCCCAAAAGGGGGGGGGGGAGGAAGGGCAGATGACCCCTGGGCTGGGCAGTGTCCGAAGGAAAGGGACCCTGGGGTCAGTCTGGGCCCTTCTCGGCAGCCAGACGGAAACCAAACCAGCCCTGGGGGTTGGAAACCCGCCAAGACTTTCTCGTCTACCAACCGGAGCCCAACCTTTGGCCCCGGAGGAGGGGCCACCAGAATGCCCACCTGCGCCTGACCCAAGTTCCCGCCACCTTTACAAAAGAAAGAGGGGGGGGGTTCCCTTACTTGTCGATGTTGCTCTGCCGCCTCTTCACCTCCTCCAAGTGATACAACACGGAGACGCCCCGGAGGTGTCCCGGGCCCCTCTGCTTGGGGCGCTTCTTCTTCTTCTGGCACAGCTCCTTGGGGGACGGGAGGCTCCGCGGAGCAGGGGCCGTCTCCCAGGGCCACGGGCCCCCCTCCTCTCCGGCGGGCCGCTGGGCTGCACATCCGGATGTCTACAAAGGGCAGGGAAGCACAGGGGCCTCGGGTGAGAGCTTCCCTGCAGAAGGGGGCTCCCCGCTTCAGTGGCCAGAGAAATCGTTTCCGCGTACTCAACGAGTAGTCTTCAAGAAAACTCCTCCAATGGGGCAAAAGCTCCCTTAACAGGAACGTTGGGCTCAAAAATCGTTTCCGCGTACTCAACGAGTAGTTTTCAATGGGTCTAAGTCGACATGGAGGGGAGGAAGCAGTGGGGTGCTACAAGATTCAGTCTTAGGCCGAGTTCCGGTTTGCAAGCGCTTCGGGGCAGGCAGGAATCCGCGATCGTGCGCGGTTTCTGCCTGCGCTCGCCACTGGAGTGCCCCGAGCCAGTCGGCTTCGGGGCTAAGCCACCCCGTAGAGGTGGTCGAAGATAGGGGAGACCTGGCAGGGTCGAAGGGAATCGCACCTCTCCTCCCCAGCCGGCTAAACTCCCTTTTCCGAAGGCGGTAAGAGCGGCGGTCAGAAATGGCCGCCTCAAAGAAGCACTCAGCCGGAAAAGAAAGTGCAGGAGGAAGGGAAGAAGTGACAGTTTTTTGGCTGACCAGGACAAAAAGCAAACAACTAAGGTATCCTGGAATTTAAATTTTTGCAAAAGAGACATCGCTCCCAAAGAAGACTCGGAAAAAAGCGGCGAATGAAAGTGAAAAGGGAAAGGTTTTTTGTTTTTGTTTTCACTCTCTTTCCTAACGTTGACAGCGAACAGAAATGAATGAGAAATCGGGAAAAACCCGCTTTGGCATCAATAGGTAAATAAACTGGATAATTAAATGTCAAGGGGATAATAAGGATTTCTGAACACTAACAAAAAAACATTTTTCTTATATGCATCCATGTATTCATAACTATGTTGATACTTATACCGTCCCTGTCCTATTGTTTCTTTTTATTTTTCTTATATGCATCCATGTATTCATAACTATGTTTATACTTATACCGTCCCTGTCCTATTATTTCTTTTTATTTTTCTTATATGCATCCATGTATTCATAACTATGTTGATACTTATACCGTCCCTGTCCTATTATTTCTTTTTATTTTTCTTATATGCATCCATGTATTCATAACTATGTTGATACTTATACCGTCCCTGTCCTATTGTTTCTTTTTATTTTTCGTATACGCATCCGTGTATTCATAACTATGTTTTTACTCATACCTATTCTCTCGTAAGCAGTTGACAAACCAAATAAAATCAAATAAAGTGAAATCCTGCCTCCGAGACTTCAGCCCCCGTCCCAACGCCTGGTGGGAGCCCCCAACAGGTGGCAAAGGTATCCCAGTGGGAGTGCCAGGGTCCCCCTCCTAAGGCACCCAAAAACCCTAGCTTCACCGACGGAACAAACTTGCACTTTTCCCAGGGAAGAAGCAGGAGGAAAAAGCAGCGGTTTCGAAAGAAGGCCTCAGCCAGGCCGCGGAAACCTACCAGCAGGTGTGGGGCCTCCTGGTACTGGTCCATCCAGAGGTAACTGAAAGAGAAACAGGTAGACAGGTGCGATTTATTTGGCTTTCACTTCAGGATCCCTTCCATATGTAGGAGAAAGGATCGGCTGTAGGAAGTCAGCCAGGCCTGGGTGCAAATCTTTACATTTGGAAATCCCTGGCTAGGTAATGACCAGGAAAAGCAAAAGAATTCCGATTTAGCGCTTGCGAAGGATATCGGCCTCCTTCCCTGCTTCGTCTCGCTGGCAAAATATATATATATATATATATTGCAAACAAAAGGGAGCCACCGCTTCCCCTCCCCTAACGCCCCCTCCCTGAATTTCGATCCCCTAACATCATGGGGGACGCTGCGACGGGTCGTTCAGTGTGGGAAAAACCGGTCGCCGGTTCCCCTTTTTCCAGCACCGTCGTAACTTCGATCGGTCTCGAAGTGAGAGGTTCTAAGTCAGGGACTAACCAGGACCAGGGAGGGGAAAAAAACCAACCCGGAACGGTGTTTCTCTCCCGCCCCCCGCCACATCCCCGAACGGTGTCACCCGCCGGGATGGCGAAACGTTACCTCGGCTGCTGGACGAGCCTGTCCCAAAAGTCCGCCGTGCCGTGGGCATCGCGGGCGGGACCGACTTCGGCCTGGACTCGGCTGACCATCTTGGATTGCCTTGAAAAAAGAGGAGGGTGGAAAAAAAAACCTGTTAAGTTTTCGAGCCAACGACGGGGCAAAGGAAATGGTCTTTATTGCACGCGAGCAGAATCCGGCGGGCTATGAAAAACCCAGCGCCTTTACATCCCTCAATCCCACTGCAATCCCCGTCCATTTTGCTCCCGCCGCCATTTTGCCTGAAGGTTACAGAGTAGAAAGACAACCTGTTTGAGGATTCGTGCACGAACAGCCGCTTAGAATTGTATGGGCACCAAATTGGAAAAAAAAAAAGGAGAAAAATTCCCGACGAGGAGGAAACCATTCGGAAAATAACAGAACGTGCAGAAATGGGTAGAGCAACAATGGCAATGAAAGAACAGGAAGAAAAAGATTATTATAAGATTATTATAATAGTAATGTTACAATTGATTGGATATATTTTATGAATGGTTAGACAGAAGAAACGGAAACGCGCGATAATAGTAATGTTACAACGGATGGACTTAGATTGAGCGAGAGAATGAATAGAATTTAGGTAAGCATGAGATATATTTTTGAAAGATAAGAATTACAACATTCATGATGATATAATAATGGACCAAGGCGAGATCAAATATTGATTAGGATGGTTTATATATACAAACAAGTAAGAAATGTATGATAATGTTATTACGTGCACAGGATATAGGTACCAACCGGCACAATGTTGAACTGAAAGATGCTTTGGTTGGTTTGTTTTTGTTGTAAAAATAAAAAAATCAAAACTTTTTCAAAAAATAAATCCCTCCCGCCGCTTCCACTTCCTTTTGAGACAACGTCAGGAGAGGAATGAAAGGCGTAATAAATCTAGCATTTCCTGGAAGTCAACTGTTTTATTATCTATTTATTTTTATTATCTATTTATTGCAAGCTTTTTTTTTTTTAAAGAAGGAAAGGAATAATAAGTTCCTCCTGCAGTGAGGGATGAAAGCACCTCAAAGTTTGGAGCGTATTATCAATATCAAAGGAAGCAGAGCAGGCTCTAAGGAAAAGCTCAGCTTTGATGAATATAGAACACCAAAAATAATATTGAAGAAAGATTAAAACAGCTTATTTTAAAAGCTATTTAAAAGCTTTTAAAAGAAGCTCCAGAAAAGGACATGCTCGGATGCAAAAAGATATTGGACTAGAAGCCACACATGGTTGGAAAAAAAAACGACAAAGCAACACATAGGACTTTAAACCTGAGCTATTTTTATTGGGAATTATACCAGAAACATATTGTAAAGCATTGAAATGTTTTGATTGTCAAATGTTTTAACAGCGGCTAGAATTGTTATTTGCTAAGAATTGGAAAAAGGAAAAAAAAAAAACACCTACGCAGGAGGAAATTATTAAGAAAATCATGGACTGTGCCGAAATGAGTAAATGGACATTTGAAATTAAAAGAAGAAGAGGATAAACAATGTTAGATGACATGGGATTTATTTTAGCAATGGTTAGATAAAAAGACATGGTAAAGAAATAGATTAGTAAGCCTCTCACTCAAAGTTAATAGACTGATAAAGAATGCAATATAAAACATATAACCATTGGATGAATGTATAAGATTAAATCCTAAGGAAAATTAGAATATCTCATATAAAATGATGGGAAAATAGTCCAATGAATGTTCAATAATCAATATTATACAAGCACAAGCTAGACCAAAATTTCTCTTGGGACAAATGGCAAGGAGGACAAATTCCTTCCTGGTCCAAGGGTTAAGCAAGAAGCAAAAGAGGTTTGCAATGACCTTTGGCCAGTGCAAAAGTCCAATATTGGCATTTATCTTGGCGGAAAGGTGAGACCGCACAGAAATGAAGCCACCAGGTGGCAGCAGAGAGAGCCCCCCAAAAAATCCTTCCTCCCTGCTGCCACCTAGGGGGCGTCCTGAAAATGGGAGCATTCAATTGAAGGCCACGGAAGCAGCCTATCCGCCTCGTGGTTAAACATCTGGGGACAGGAATGACTTGACCATCATGGTTCAAATCCAAGTTTGAAGGAACGAGTGGACTTACAGATCTGGCAAAAAAATAAATAAAAGAGATCCATTCGAGAGACTAGTTTGGCTCTGAATTGCATTCTTTACTTTTCAGGCCTAACTAACCCCCGTGAATACCCAACCTTGTTTTGACACGACTGAGTTACAGGTAGTCCTCGTTTAGCGACCGCAACGGGGGCCCGCAATTTGGTTTG